GTATGGTACTCGTCAGCAGTGTGCATCCACGAATCCTGCACCTCACAGGATTCGAACCCAGGACCTTCGGTATTGTGCGCGAACGCCTAACCATTGGACCACTGGGCAGGCATGTGACAGTGTTAATGTCTAACTCTGTTTGATCTAGGGGTTTTGTTCGACCTCACCCACTTGTCTTCGGTAGTTACTGCCTACACCACACAGGGTTGAACTCCATTTGTCACGTCTTCTCACTAGAACTCCGAGAATTTCCTCACGAAGCTAGTCACTAGTGAGCACTGTTACCAGGACGAAACGGCCATCCAGTGCTTCCAGGTTTCTAATGGTGGTTTAACAATGATCGATTTATGATTACAAAAATTCCTGATTTTTTAAATAAACTGAAATTATATTGTGAAAATAGAGTTGGTTTACTGATTTGATATGAAATTTTGAATAATCTTTGTTGAACTGTGTACATCATGTTCTGATTGCCTCGATTAAGCCATCATGATACCGGCTATTTAAGATATATGAATTGCGGATAACTCCTCCTGGGTCCCGGTCCCAAGCCTGGACAGAAGGGGAGGTTTTGGCATGGGGTTAATGACCTCATCACCTGGAAAATCAACTCGCTAAAAAACGCCAATTAGGCACTGGTCAGCGGTCCATGCCCCACTGGGGGTTACAGGTATAAGTAAGTAAATAGGTGTAATCTATGATTCGCGCTCTTAATGTGGATGTCTTGAAGGACGTTAACACCTTTACATATCTTGGCAACATAATCGACAATCAATGTGGATCCGATGCAGATGTGATGGCGCGGATTGTCAAAGCAAGGGCTGCATTTCTACCACTGAAAAATATCAATAAACACCAAAATCAGAAGTTTCAATATAAATGTCAAGACAGTTCTACTGTATGGAGAGGAAACTTGGAGAACCATGAAAGTCACCATCCACAAGATACAATAATTCATTAATAGTTGTCTACGCAAAATACTTCGGACCCTTTCGCCAAGCATCATCAGCAACAACCTACTGTGGGAGAGAACAAACCAGATTCCAGAGGAGGAAGGAATCAGGAAGAAGCGCGGGAGTTGGTGGATAGGACAAACACACTGAGGAAAGCACCTGACTACATCACAAGACAAGCCCTCACTTGGAACCCTCAAGGTAAAGGGAAAGGAGAAACGCCAACGAACACATTATTATTAGAATCGGAAGCAGACATGAGAAGAATGAACAGAAATTGGACCGAAATGGAAAGGGAAGTCCAGGACAGAGTTGGATGGAGAAAACTGGTCGGTGGCTTATGCTCCATAGAGGGTAACAGGTGTAAGTAAGTAAGTAAGTAAGGAATGATTCACGCTTCAAACTCTTTGAGAACTGTCGGTTAAGTGTAACTACATATTGTTGTAGGTGTTTATATAAGTGAGTATCTTAAGCGTTGAACAAATTAATAACTACTTTCTAAATTCAATAGCTCAGTAGATGATAATACATTAGGAATTCCAACTAATAGGTATTAATTTCGACGGTCAATGTAAACATCAGTATAAACTGTACATACATTTAGGTAACCAGTACAAAACAGAATAAAATGCAAGCCCCATATTTCAATGCTAACTAGATTCTATCTGTTTCGAGTAATTTATATCAGTGTTACAACTAAGGACATCTCTACTTAATCAATAATAGCGTTTGAAACTGAGGTGAAATGTATACTTTAATATATATTCAATCATTTCGCTTCCCCATAAAATTAACATATCTGCTCATTGATCAAGTTTGTAGGATATAGTTTTCTTTAGAACTCTGCCTGGAGCCGTTGTACAGTTACTGCCGGTCCTGAGCATTAATAAAAGAGGAGGATTGAAGATGCGGTTAGCAATCCCACCCATCCAAGTTGCTGCTGAAATAAAAAGATACAACCTAGTAATACTTGGAATCAATGAAACACATTGGATGCAGCTTCGACAACAAAGACCAGCTTCAGGAGAGCTGCTGTTATACTCCGACCATGAAGAAGAAAACGCCCCACATACACAAGGAGTCCCACTGATTCTGTCCAAACAAGCACGAAATGCACTGATAAGATGGAAATCTCATGGACCAAGGATCACCAAAGCCTCCTTCAAAACGAAGAGAGAGGGGATTACAATAATTGTCATCCAGTACTTAGCGCCTACCAATGATAACAATCAGTACGATAAAGGTCGATTCTACGAGAGGTTGCAGCCAATCGTAGAGAAATGACTAACAAAGGACTTGACCATTTTGATGAGAGACATAAATGCCAAGGTTGGCATGGAGAATACTGGATATAAACACATCATGGGAGAAAGGAACGTAATCGATGAGAGATTTGCAAACCTAAGTGCGTTCAACAAACTGGTCATAGGCGGCACAATATTCCCACATAAATGAACACACTCGGCCACATAAGTTTCACCGGACCACACCCCTCAGAATCAAATCGACCATATATGTATCAATAAAAAATTCAGAATGATGATTGAGAACGTGAGAACCAAGAGAGGAGCTAATATAGGCTCAGATCATCACTTGTTGAAGATTATACTGAAACCCAAAAAGCACTGAAAAACGGGTCGGACAACATCGCAAAAGTTTAATAAGGCCGTTCTTCGGGATACTGGCAAACTCAACGAATTCAGGATAGCCCTCAGCAATAAGTTTCAGTCCGTTCACGATCTGCTTAATGGAGCGAAATCTATCATGGAAAACAACTGGAAAGGGATCAAGGAGGAAGTCATTTCAACATGTGATTGGATACTAGGCCACAAGAAGCACCATCAACATCAGTGATGATGCACTGGATAAGATTTAAGAAACAAAGAACAAGAAGGCAGCAATCAATATCAGCCGAACAAGGGTAGAGAAAGCTAAGTCACAAACTGAATACACAGAAGCAAACAAGCAAGTGAAGAGGAGGATCAGAGTTGGCAAACTTAAATATGTGCCTGATTTAGCAATGACAGAGGAGAAAGCTACAAGAGAAGGAAACATGAGACAACTGTATGATACAATAGGGTACAAATCGTAAACCAAAAAGATCAGTTAATAGCAAGGGAGGCAAAGTAATCAGTGATAGTGAGGAAGAGCGAAGCAAGTGGGTAGAGCACTTTGAGCAACTCTTGAATCGAACCCACCCAAAATAAATTCAGCACCCACAGACCTTCCAAATTATGTTGACCTACCAACAACCGAATAGATCAGCGTTGTCATCAGACAAATCAAAAGTGGCAGTGTAGCGAGACCATACGATATTCTAGCAGAGGCACTGAAATCAGACGTAGCAATAACCGCACATGTTTTCCACGCCGTGCTCAGCAAGATTTGCGACAAAGCTTAAGTGACAAGTGAGTGGAAAGAGGCATTTCTCATCAAGAAACCAAAGAAAGGAGATCTCGACAAGTATGAGAACTACAGAAGCATCACTCAACTCTCTATACCCGGGAAAGTCTTCAACAGAGTGTTGTTAAACAGAACGAAGGACTCCATTGACGTCCAACTTCCAGGTCAGAAGTCTGGATTATTTAAAAATCGATCGTGTGCCGACCAAGTTACAACATTGTGAATCAATGTTAAACAATCAACTGAGTGGAATTCACCAGTCTACATCCACTTCATTGATTACGAGAAGCGTTTGACATAGTGGACGGATGATATTATGGAGGCTTCTTTGACACTATAATGTGCCTAAGAAGATAAAAAAATCACCATACAGATGGATTAAACTGAAAGATCGTGCATGGAGAACTACTCTCAGACTCGTCCCAAGTGAAGAGAAGTGTCAGGTAAGGTTGCTTACTCTCTTTCTTCTGTTAATCGACTGGATTCTGAAGACGTCAACATCTGGAGAGGGAAGCATGGAATATACAGGACAGCTCGGATGCATCTGAACGATCTGAACTTGGCAATTAGTCTAGCCCTTCTATCTCACACGCAACATCAAATGCAAGAAAATACGGTCAGCAGCAGCCTGTACAGCAGTAGGCCTCAAGAGGCCACAGGAAAAACAAGACCCTTTGACACAATGCTACAAACACCGACCAAATCACACTTGACGGAGAAGCTTTGGATGATGTGGAAACCTTTATATATTTTGAAAGCATCATTAATGATCAAGTTGGATCTGATGCTGATGTGAAGTTGCGGATTGTCAAAGCGCCAGAAGTATTTTTATGACTGAAGAACATTTGGAACTCGAAAATCTACCAGTTAAAACTAAAGTCACAATTCTCAATACAAATGTCAAGACTGTTCAACTGTATGGCGCAGAAACTTGGAGAACCTCGAAAGCCATCACCCACAACATATTAACATTCATCTACTCAAAATAATCCGCGTCCGTTGACCAGACACCATCAGCAACAACCTACTGTGGGACCGGACAAGCCAGATTCCAGCTGGTGAAGAAATCAGGAAGTGGATAGGACACAAATTGTGGAAAGCACCCAAATGCGTCACAAGTCAAGCCCTCACTTATAGACTCCTCAAGGCCTAAGGAAGAGAGCAAAATCAAGGAACAGAATACTCTGAGAATTGGAAGCAGATATGAAAATAATGCACATCATTTGGCTATAAATGTAAAGGAGAAATGAAAACAGAGTAGGTTGGAGAATGCTGGTCAGCGTCCTATACTCCATGAGATTTTAACAGGTGTAAGTAAGTAATTACGTAAGTTATCTGTAGAGAAATTTCAACAATAGAAAAGAGTTGAATATACTTTACCTGCCAATAAATTTACATAAATCTATGTACAGTCTCGGGTTTTTTTTACTTCTATAATTTTGTCTTTCCCAATTTTTATCACTTTTGATCACTTTGTTTCTCACTTCCTTTAAATCACTGCTGTTTTACCTAATGCTTAACTTCCTTCTGAATTCAGTTAATCTGATTGGTTGTTGGTCTGCTATAGTACTTACTTACTTACAAATGACCTTGAAGCTCATAAGATTTTCTCATTACCATCATTGTTCAGTATTTTATTTGATATTTTTTGACTGTAAGTTGCTATCAATTTCTAATGACTTAATTCGGTTTCGTGTTTTTTTTTTATTTTCGGTGTTTATTCAACCAAGTTCAAAGACCTGGATTATCTATCTTGCATCCTTGAAATTCATTGAAAGTTTCCACGGGAATGTGTCGCCATTTTTAAAAAATTGAACATTTAATGCTCTGATTGTTTTAATTAGAGTTTTTTTTAGTAAGTAAATCCTTTTTTATCATTTAGAAGATTCTTGTTTAGTGTTATATGTGTTAATTATTCAGCTAGTTTGCTAATATTTACATCATAAAAGTGATATCTGTTAGAAAAATACTGAATTGCGAGTTATATAAATGAGCAATTGTTTTGTCACTTACTTTGTGTATAAATCAACTGTATGAACAGGTGGAAATATACTTTACTTACTTACTTATGCCTGTCACTCCCCAGTGGAGCAAAGGCCGCTGATCAGCATTCTCCAAACTACTCGGTCATGAGCCTTCCTTTTTTGTTCCATCCAATTGTGGTTCATTATTCTTACGTCCGTCTCCATTTCTCGGCGTAATGTGTTTCTTGGTCTTCCTCTTTTCCTTTGATCTTAAGGATTCCAGTTGAGGGCTAGTCTTGTGCTTCATTCAGGTGCTTTCCTCAATGTGTGTCCTATCCACTTTCAGCAATTCTTCCTGATTTCTTCCTCTACTGAAATCTGGTTTGTTCTCACACACAGTAGGTTGTGGCTGATGGTGTCTGGCCAGTGAATCTGAAGTCGTCACATTGATGTTTAGGACTTGGAATCGATCAGTCTGCAGAGACTGGCTCGATATTGCCTCTTTAAGCTACAAGCATTATCGGTAGAAGTGGATAGTCACTGCCAGCGACTCGTCGTATGGACATCCACTCCGGGACTCGAACCCAATCTCTTTCACTCCAAACGCCATCACGTTATCCTCATTACACAAAATGAGTAGCTGTTTGGATTTAGTAGCTAAACAAATAACACGATGACAATTGAACCAGACAGTACTGGGTTCGCACTCTGCAGTGAATATCAACTCTAAGATGCAATTTTGTCCATATAATGCGCGTTCTGCACTCCGCAGCTAGCCACTATCCGCCTCTGTTGGCAACTTATATTGATTGAGTATAGTTTGAAAGATTATTTTCTCTATATTCTGGAGAACTAATTGTTAGGATATTCATCCAATATCTTAAGAGAATTACTTTTGTAAGTCTAATTCTATTGGTCGATTCCTATTGGTCGTCCTAACTATCAATGTCACATACTTCAAATGTTGTTTCCTATTCGGCTTAACTGTATAAATACTCATGATCTGTAACGTTTTATGACCAGGATCAGGACCTGGTCTCGGATCCCTAGTCCAGGATCCTGATTCTCATCTAGAATCGGACCTGGTACTTTCTTGATGTTTGTAGAATACATGTTCTGCTTCATATTAAGTCTTCTTCTTTTATGCAATATAGGGGGTTGAGACACTCGGATTAGAGTAGCCTGTCAAGTCGCCCGATCCTCGACCCTCGATCTCGTTTACTGACTAAGGTAAATTCGTAATAGCATTCAAGCATATCAAAATTGACATGTTTACGTGCATACGTAACACACACATAATGAGAGCAAGAAAGTATATGATTGTTCAGTATATATATATTTGACGAAATTTTTATCCAATTAAATTATACTACTTATAACTATTATTAGAAATAATCAATTTGTACTTTAATACATTGAAATAAAGTACTTATACTTGTCATGCAAAAATTCATAATCTTTAAGCATTAATTATTGGTTATTTCCTTTGTGAATTAATCAATTAAAAAGAGAATTTGTCTTTCTCATGATGCTAACTAACTCAGATGGGTACTTCATTTTTTACAAACATTCAACTTACATTTGAACAACTGAACTGATTTTTGATATTATCTAACACAAACACAAGTAAGTGTTCATTGTAAGTTGAATTTATGCGTTACTATAGTAACTGCCTGTGCGTATACGTGTCTGTTGTACAATTGTCGCAGCAGCAGCCAACATACATGAAATAATAGACCTTGACAATATTAAGATAGGATAAAAAAAAATTTATACTTATTTCTATCACATATACAATTTATATGTAACTAGAATATTACTCTTAGATTATCAATCTCAACGAAAAAAAAAACAAATATGTTCATTGTACAACAATTGAACATTTAATTCACTAGTCAATCGATCAAGATAAATATATAACAAGGTCATTTAATCAAGCGGAGATTTAAATTTTACACAGATAACAATTTTAAAATGTATGCTCTTAGTTTATGACTTAATGTGTTTTTTGTTAAGAGGAATGGAATAATTTTGGGAAATAAAAATTTTTTGTTCATTGTAAGTTTGAATATTGTTTGCACATATTTTTTTGTTTTAATTTGTTAAAGGAAGAAAGAAACAAGGCGCCATTTATTATTCTCAAATAATTTTAATTGGTCAACTATTTTTTTGGTGGTTTAGGTAAGTAAGTGGTTATTGTTCATGTTTGTTTCAACTGAAGATTTTTTTTATGATAAATGATTCTTAAAATGTATCACATTAAATTACTGAGTTCATTCGAATAATTGAGCATTGAATAGGAATGTTGTAGTGAACGAGAACACAGATGGGGCAACCGAATTGTATTTAACAAAAATTACAGAGTTACCCAATAAAAATCGGAAAACCATATCGTAAATTGTTCATTTTCAAAATATCAGTTCATCATATCGAACTGGACTGTTCCTGTTGCAAACAACATCAATCCATTGTCACTATTCATGCGTTTCATACAAATTCCATTGTGTTCCCACTCTTCTTCCTTTCTTGATCTTCCCCCATCTTCTGCTGCCAGACATTACGTTGACTGACACTCACGTCATATACTACTTATAAGTAGCTCACACCACAATGTGAGAATTGATTGTTTCTACAGCATTATTCATTTGTATAATCAATCATCCTTCAAGAAGTTAGGTCAGTGAAAATAGTATAAAATTGGAAGCAGTTGAAAGGAGAAAAAAAGATTCGGTTTGAATTTGGCGAGTTTAAAAAAAATATCAAAAAGTTTATCTCCATGTTATTTATATCAGAAAATCACAGAATTAAGGATGCTACATAATACTTGATATATTTAAGTGATATTTATTTGTTATTGATTTCAATTAGGGCACTACTAGGAAACTAGACAGAGTAATAGAGAGTTGCTCCATCCTAGAATAGAATTTCTGGGTTATGGATATTATTGACCTCATTAAGATCAGTTTAAAACAATTAGTCCCTTTTTATGAATTTTGATAGAACAGTGTGAAGACGCAATTGATCTGAAAAATGCTGTCATGTATTTGCGCCTCATACATTTCGAACAATCTGGTCACAGAAATGCATACTTGTCAAGGCATTTTCATATGAAGATAAATAAAAGGTTAATTAAATAAAAGTTCAAATAGACATTAGGTGATAATTGTAAATAAAGGAGAGAGAAAATTAACGTAATATGAAAAGAATAAGAAAGGATAGGGAAATCGTCACATTACCCTAGGCTTAAAGATTACCAAGGTAAATTCAAGGTTATGACAAATTGTTTCTGCACACATAAGGGGGGTTTTAATTTTCTAATAGCCAAGGCCTCCATAAACCTCAAAATTCGTCCTTCAACATTTCTATACAATGTTTTGAAGGCTGTCTTGATGTCGTCAATCTTATGCCCTGTCTCAATTATGTGTTTTGCGATCGATGAACATGGTTTTCTATTTCCAACGCTAATCGGCTGATCTGATGTGAACTGATTTTGAAGCCACTTAAATACATGTTCCATAACCCTTGATTTCAAAGTCCACTTACTCCTCGCTATGTATGTGTGTCCACACAAACATGTAAATTGATAAATGCAACGGGATGTGATGTAATCATTCGAACATCGTTTAGGTCGATGTGAAATCATAGGTTTAATCTTTTCAATGATAATCAGTTTAGCGGCGCTGTATGTTTTCGCTGTGTGACCAGATTGTTCGAAATGTATCAGGCGCAAATACATCACATTTTTCAGATCAATTACGTCTTCTCACTGTTCTATCAAAATAATATCAGTTTCCTAACAATGCTGTTGTTAGGACACGAGTACTAGATAGGGATGTGTTACGCGTCATCTGATATACTTGAATGCTATTGCGAGTTTACCTTAGTCGGAAAACGAGAGCGAGGATCGATGGTCCGGCGACATGACAGGCTACTCTAATCCGATTGTCCAAACTCCCCCGATGAGTAAAAGAAGAAGACTTGATATGAAGTAGAACCTGTATTCTACAAGCATCTAGAAAGTACGAGGTCAGAAGTCCAGAAGAAGATGAGGATCCCGGACTAGGGATCCGGGTCATAAAACGTTACAGATAGTGAGTATTTATACAGTTCAGTCGAATAGGGAACAACATTGAAGTATGTGACATTGATAGCTAGGACGACCATAATATTGGCCAATAGAATTAGACTTACAAAAATAATTTTCTTAGGATATTTGATGATTATCCTAACAGGATGGCAAATCATTAGATGAAGTATTGAAACTTCGTCAGTTGAGGTGATTAGGACATATGCTACGAACTCCTAACCACTGACTGCCTTGACGAATGATATTTTGTGGTGTGGGGGTAGTCTGTAAGAAAGCTATGGGCAGTCAAACCAAAACATGGAAGAAATCTATGAAGTCACTGACAAGTGGATTGAGTCATGTTGGTAAGTGTAGACTACCTGGTTGAGGTACGCAAGATGATAGTAATTCATGGTTTAGAGACTTTGAATGACATTGTTCAATATCGTTTGCGATGGTTGAGGTGCATTCATCCTTTGTGTTTTCTTAAATCCTAACCTTCAAAGTTCCTCATCACCTTTATCTTATTTCACTAGATTCTACTTCACGAATCATATCTTTGAACTTTAATCTCTCCGATTACTGCTAATGCGTCTATTACCTCTACTGATATGGGATTTGAATTGACAATTCCATCTCTCTGTACACAGGTGGTATGGCAACTTGAACTGATTTATGTATATACGCAGTTCTACATTATAACTGACCGGATCCAAACATCTCACTCGAATCATTTAGTAAGAGATTTATCTAAATTAGAACTTCCACACCTGATAACTAATACGTTGAGATTCACTGGTTCATATCACACTACTAACGGTAACTTAATCTAGTCTGAACTTTTTGAAGTATGATCCCATTAAGACGGAATCATTTCTTGTAGTTTTAAGTGATTACTTTCACCTTGAATTATCATCTCATGATGTGAATTATTCTTACATTTGAGTGATCTCGACAAATCTTTCATCTCTTTCTCTCTCTCTTGCTCTAACTTTCCAGACGGATGCTTCAGGCGGGAATAAAATGGACGGTGAACTAGATCCAGATAGTCAACTTTTAAGTGAAGATATCATTAAAAGTATGTGTTTTGCAGTTTCAACTATGAATTATATCTTTTCAATGATACTTCTAGTTTGATGATTGGTTGCTTAAATAATCGTATGGAGATCGGTGTTGTTTACACATATTGAAATCATGAATGAATCATTGTTAGATTGGCATCATTAGAATTTCTGGAAGTTCAATCTTGTCGGGTGTAGGCGGTAACTATCAAAGATAATGAATGAAGTTGCGTAAAATCCTTAGATTGATCAGAGTTACACATAAATACCGTTGGATGCCGGCTCAGTAGTTTGGAGGTTAACCTTTCGTATGCATATCCGTAGGTCCTGAGTGCGAATCCTGCAAGTGATGGGAATCCTGGGTACACAGTGATGATAATCTCGTATTGCTAAGTATGATGGACCCGGGTTCCATTCCTGTCAGGTTAATCGCTTTTCAGTGACTGCTAATAGGTCAGATACGAGAAGGAAACAGCTGTTTTATAATATCACCTTAACTTAGATCAGAGAGTGACGAATATAACTTACAAATCTTCGATAAACAGAAGACCAGTTCTTGATCTATTTACTTAATCCAAACAAAGGTCATTGTTAATTGATGAATATGTTGAATTACTTGATAACCAAATCTGTTATCCGAAAAATACAAAATCTCTAATCAAATTTCATTGAAATCATGCTTCGATCAATGTTAGACCACTATTAGAAGCAAACCTGGAAGCATTAGACGGCCGATTCACCCTAGTATGGCATTCGTCATCAGTGCACTTCGACTAACCCCACTTACGGAAACCAAACCTAGGACCTTCGGTTTTGCGAGCGAATACCGAACTTGTAGACCTGTGAGCCGGTATCCAACAGTGTTAATGTCCAACTTCGATCAATCTACGGTGTTGCACAACCTCATTGACACCGCTGGACGTCAACTCATTGGTCTAGGGGTTGAGCATCCGCACACTAAACCGAACGTCCTTGGTTCGACTACCGCCTGTAGATGTCATGCATGCGCACAGCTGCTGAGTCCCATACTAGGACGAACTGACAGTCCAATGCTCCCAGGTTTCTAATAATGGTCTATCAATGTTTGATTCATGATTTCAACAGAACTCAACCATTTCCACAACCCTATAATCAATACAAATTATCATGTAGGCTGATTTTATCTCTTTCTTTTTTACTATTCATGAAATGTAATTCAGGAATAATGGTAAATCTTGAACGATTATGGCCAAATGTTTATTATTATTATTATCATTAATATTACGAAGATTTCGAATACAAAATTTGTTGAAATCGTTGAGTTACTTGAATGAAAAAATGAATCAATCATTGTTAGACCATCTGTAGAAATCTGGAAGCACTAGACGTCCGTTTCATCCTGGTATGGGACTCATCAGTGGCAGTGAATATTCGTGACTCCTGAAACTTCAGCGCTTCCAAGTTTCTAACCCTGTCGGTTGTAGGCATTAACTACCAAAGAAAATGGGTGAGGTCGCGCAAAATCCCTAGATCAATCAGAGTTAGACATTAACACCGTTGGATGCCGGCCAACTCAGTGGTCCGATGGTTAGGCGTTCGCGCACAATACCGAAGGTCCCGGGTTCGAAACCTGGGAGGTACAGGAGTTGTGGATGCGCGCTGCCACTGATGAGTACCATACCAGGATGAAACGGCCGTCCAGTACTTCCAGGTTTCTAATGTTGGTCTAACAATGTTTGATTGATGATTTCAAATGTGTAAAAAAACACAAACCTCCGAAACTCTGCCCGAAAACTGATGGATTGATAATTTCAAAAAATTACGATGATCTTTATTATTGTCAATTCACATTGTAAGAAATAAGAAAAGTACATTTCATTTATAGTGTAATGAACGTGAAATTTGTTTCATCACACAATCCTAAATATCTCATTTTTCTTTGTTTCCCAAACTACTTAATTTCACAATAATGTCAGTAGTTATATTTTTACGAAATCATATGAAAATTTAGTCTTATCACTCATGTCATATGATGTACATAGAGTAGAAATTTAATTTTGTTCATGCATAATTTAATAACTTATAAACATATATCATTCATTATCTTAAATTAAATATCAACTGAATGATACCAACAAATCTGAGGTTCGTTTGTATGAAATAATCTTATTTACTTACTTACTTACTTATGCACTTACTTACTTACTTACTTACTTACTTACTTACTTACTTACTTACTTACTTACTTACTTACTTACTTACTTACTTACTTACTTACTTACTTACTTACTTACTTACTTATGCACTTACTTACTTATTTACTTACTTCCTTCCTTACTAACTAACTTACTTACTTACTTACTTATTTACTTACTTACTTACTTACTTACTTACTTACTTACTTACTTACTTACTTACTTACTTACTTACTTACTTACTTATGCACTTACTTACTTATTTACTTACTTTCTTCCTTACTAACTTACTTACTTACTTACTTACTTATGCACTTACTTACTTATTTACTTACTTACTTACTTATGCACTTACTTACTTACTTACTTACTTATTTACTTGCTTACTTACTTACTTACTTACTTATGCACTTACTTACTTACTTACTTATTTACTTACTTTCTTCCTTACTAACTTACTTACTTACTTACTTACTGCGTTACCCCTAATCGAGCACAGGTTCCCCACCACCATTCTTCAACCCACTCTGTTCTAAGCTTTGTTTTCCAGTTCTACCTATAGTTTAACATACGCAAGATCGTCCAACCGCCTTCCTTTATCGATGCTTGGAACCGGCAGTAATCTTAGAAGGGCCTTACGTGGAGTTGAGACTAATGATAGCTTATAAATAATTCCAAGTTATTAATTATTTCGAGTTGATTAAGTGTTCATCATTCACCATTGATAGGAAATATTATTACTTTTGTTTAAAAATTAGCTGACTCTAGCTAACAGTTCTAAATAATAATTTTGTAGTCTCATCAAACAAAAGTATATTGAATGACTTTCGTGTGAATAGTATATCATGTAGGATCATCTTCGACTGAAAAGATATTTCTTGAAAGTCTAAGAAATTGCAGAAGCAGTTCGTTTGAGAATTATATAATTAAAAAAGATTCTTTCCGTTAAAGAAGTTTTTCTCATTTATATGAAGAAAGTTGTAGTATAGTAGTAGTAGTAGTAGTGTGAGTAGTAGTGTGGTGTGAGCTACTTATAAGTAGTATATGACGTGAGTGTCAACGTAATGTCTGGCAGCAGAAGATGGGGGAATATCAAGAAAGTAAGAGTTAGAAAACAATGGAATTTGTATGAAACGCATGAATAGTGAGTAACAATGGATTGATGTTGTTTGCAACAGGAATAGTCCAGTTCGATATGATGAACTGATATTTTTTGCAAATGAACGATTTACGATATGGTTTTCCTATTTTACTGAGTGAGTAACTCTATAATTTTCGTTAAATACAATTCGTTTGCCCCACCTGTGTTCTCGTTCACTACAGTAGTAGTAGTAATGCGAGTAGTAGTAGTAGTGTAAGTTGTAGTAGTAGTAGTAATAGTACAGCAGGGTTGTTAATTGTCAAGCCACTTATTTGCACCGTCTCCGTAAGACTCGAACCTTGGTCGTACCAAAGCATTTATCTGGAGGACTTTTGCTGATGATATTGTTATCATCACTAAAAATACTTCTGACTTAAATACCAGAAAAAACACACTATCACAATAAAATATTAAATAAATTTACAATCAGATCAGAATTCGCTCAATCTACAATTGATAGTCTACTAGTATCATTTTCATAAAAGCACGCAGTGCCATTTAGTGGTAGAGTTGCATTTATTCTTGAGTGTTGTGTGTAAAGTGGCAGGCTCTGTTATATTGATCCCAGGCAAAACACAGACATCTACAACAAAAAGCTTGACTAATTTGTGATAAGCAAGATTTTCGGGGAAATACACCTTTGTGTTGATGTAAATGTCGTCTGTCACTGACAATATCTTGTCATAATGGATACATTGAATGCGAAAATTGTTCTCTTTGCACTTTAAAACCCCATATATAATAAATTGATAGAAAGCTTAATTCTCATACATAAACTCTTAATCGTTTGGAAATCTAATGTCACCACACATCTCTTTGCCTCACTACTCGATATAGACAAATAGAACAACATGATTGCGGTAATAAAACTCGTCAAATATTACTCCTTTGATGTTGACAGTTTTTCTGATCACCATTAGTGATATGCTTGTCAACTGATATGCTTGAATGCTATTACGAGTTCACCTTCATCAGGTAAACGAGAGTGAGGAAAAATGATCCAGTAACATGATAGGCTATTCTGATTCGATTGTCCCCGGTTCTGCTAACTATGGTATGAAGTCTTGATAAGTGTATTCTACAAGCACCCAGATTATATGAGGTTGACAAGCATACAAATCATGCTTATTTATACATCACAGAAATGTCCTTGGGAGAGTCACAAAAATAGTGTAATAAAATAACACATTCAAGGATTTTGCTGGTGGGAAATGTTAATCTCAAGGTCAACTGTGACCAGCTCATGCGCTAAAACATAAAATTCCAAAAATTAGGACCTTTTCACAAGTGATTAGTTCTGTAGGGATCTAACGTCGTTTGATAGATTGAAGGGAGATAGAGACAAAGGGTACATTCGCAGACAATAATATTAAGCATAGATTGTAAAAATGATTTCAACTTGATCAAAAAACTATTTAACATTTTCACAAAATAAACATTCAGACATAAAAATCTCTGTTTTATTCATCATTCACGTTAACTTGTCTTTGATATTCATCATCATCATGATAGAACTTTATGATTCACTTGTTTCATCGAAAACTCGACAAGTCACATTGAATCAAATTGGTCCATGTTTACAAACAATAAATCAAGCACCTACTCAAGCTATTTTACAAAAAATCTATTCTGATTATACACCTGATGAACTTGAAGGAACTGGACCAGGTAGGTGGTTTGGGAATTTTTTTTTGATTAAACGAAATATATATGTATGTATGTATATAAATTACGATTTCAGAATGAAGCTAAACATGCGTTCTTTGATTTCCCTTTTCTCTTTTGACTTTGAGGATTACAAGTGAGGGCTTGTCTTGTTGTGACAGAGTTGTGTGCTCCACAAGTGTCCCGACCGAAGCTGCTACCTTGACGTGGTGGTCGGGCTTGCCTATCGTGATGACCCAATAGAGCTATATTGCCCGGAACTTATGTTCCTGAAGGTTCTACCATGCCAGGCAGGTCGATTGGTAAGCGATGAGACTAAAAGCAGCTACTCAGCGTCTGAGGGCAAAGTCGTACTGCTGACTGCAGAGGGGTGTGGCAGCAGTAAGGTGTTTCCCTCGGACAATCAGCATCCGCAGCGATGCTACCTTCTCACAAGGAAGGAAGGGTTAGAAAAGGTCGACCCTAAAAATGTCACACCTCACTCTACCTCACGGATTTCCGTCTCCGGCGGTAAGGGCTGCCCAATAAGGGCTTTAAGAAGAGCGGAGCGAATACTCGAAAAACCCTGCACAAAAAGGCCTTGCGTGACCGGCCTCAAGCAGTTGTCCCTTGGGCTCTGCGGTCACGCACCCAGGTCTCCAAGACCAACACTAATCTATTTTCCTTTTCAGGTCCCTCAAGAAACAACCTTCCACTGTGTGGGCAGCCGGGAAGTGAATACCGCCCTCATACCCGTAAGAGCTCCACAATTGTCATATCCACCATCCATCGTTCGTTTCTGATTTCTTCCTCTGCTGGAATCTGGTGTGTTTTTTTCTCACGGTAGATTATTTCTGATGGTGTCTTCTCAGCGAATCTGAAATATCTTGTGGTTAATGGGTTTCGTGTTTCGCCAAGTTTCCACTCCATTACAATAGAACTGTCTTGGTATTTGTATTGAAATTTGTGACTTTCGTGTTAGTTGGTAGATGTTTTGAGTGACAGACGTTCGTCAGTTGTATAAATAAAGCCCTAGCTTCTCCGATCCACTCTTTCACATGTGCATCAGATCCACCTTGTTCATCAATGATTCTGTTCAAATATGTATAGAGGTTTCTAAATTCTCCAAAGCTTTTGCATCCAATGTGATTTGGTTGGTGCATGTTGTGTTGTATCGGAGAATCGTGCTTTTCCATTGCGTATGTTGAGACCTATTGCTGCACAAGCTGCTGCTACATTGGTCGTGTTCTCTTGCATGTGTTGTTGCGTGTGAGATAGTAGGGCTAGACGAACTGCGAAGTTCAGATTGTGCAGCTAAATCGGAGCTGTCTTCTCAGACACACTATGATGTGGAAGAACACTCATTATTTTCATCCTTTCAACGCTGTTGAATGCTTTCTCGTAGTCAATGCAGTTGATATAGAGTGGTAACGTCCACCCCGTTGACTGTTCCATAATGATCTGTAGCGTCACGATTCAGTCGGTAAATTATCTATCCTTACTGAATTCGGTTTTCTGATCTCGAAGTTTGGCGTAGCACATGGTTGTATCTTTTCATTTCTAATGCAACTTTAATAGTTCTCCCTGTCTTTCAAAATGTACGAACATCCCATGTGCCTATACTGATGGTTGCTCTGGGTGTCAGAAGGGACATTGGTCTCGTGACTTCAGAAGAAACTCGGCTTTCATCATGAGACGTCGTAACTCTTCTAAATGAAGACCTCCAAACTACCAGGGCAGAGTTTAAGTGGTTTGAATTATTTGTTCTGGTTAGACTTTTTAGCAGCTTATTTTTATACGGGGTGATGTGACTATCCCATTCAAAACCCACCTCTGTTTTATCTGGACTTGGAACAGCCAGTAACCCCAGAGGGACTCCAAGCAGAGTTTCTCATGAGTTTAATCTCACAAAAATCCCATGAGTTACTGAAATCAAACACACCGAGAAGAATTATTTTTATTTAGTTTTCCACCCAAAAATATATATTCCTCTTCAGTTGTTTAGTTAGAGGATAAATGAAGTCGATGTTCAATAAAAAACATTCAATAACTGAAACACTGATCAACAGTTCACAACATACATAAAACTAAATGTAAAATTCGATTTCTGAAAAGATGTTTAACTGAACATATAAATTATGAACGTATCTGTTAGATTCGTCACTAGGTACGCTTGAAGCTATTACGAGTTCACCTTAGTCGATAAACACGAATGAGACAATTACCAGCGTCCAGATAGGCTACCTTGATCCCAAAACGGCAAAACAGAAGTCTTGATAAGCGTAGAAAGTATATTCTACAAACACCCAGCAATCACACAATACAATCAAGCACACACAACTCTCGTTTATTCATACATCATAGAAACGTCCTTGGGACAGTCACAAAAATAGCACACTAAAATACACAGCAGCTAATCACAGTCATGGATTTTCCTGATGGAAAATGAAGTCTCAAGGTCAACTGATCAGTCCATGCTGGAAAACGTGAAAACCAAAATCAGGCATTTATCAAGCGAGTTTTGGGAATCTAACATCCCCAACAGTATCATAGTGATGCACTTAGTCGGAAGACAGTTTAGCTTAAGATGAATAAATATAACTTCTGTAAAATAGGTTTCATATTCCTCATTCCGATTTTTTTTTCCTCATGTACACTTCCTAAGCACTTACATAATCAAAGAAAGGAAACTAGGGGAAAATAGCTTAATTGCCAAAATTAGAACACATATATGTGTATCAATCCTAGGAATATGTTTATTATAAGTTACTGAACTAAACTAGACTAAAATGTAGTGAGGTGACCTTGGTCAAATGAATAAACCGCTCATTTAAAATAAACTTACTCATAAACGAGTCTCTAAATCACCAATATGACCTTTTAACATTATATAATCGATTAAGAATCATTCAGAGTTTTAAATAATTTAGAAAACTAAGAATATTTTTAAAACTAAGGATATTTTTAAAACTAATATTTTCTTGTCTAGTACAATCAGAACACAGCTATCAGAAAAACAAATCAATATATGACTACTCAGCCTATTTAAAACAATGAGAATGATGACAACCAATTAAAAACAAGGTCACATTTTCAAGTAACCTGATTTGAGACATATGAAACACAATGAAAAATTTAACTTTTAACTGGAATTCGTTTGGTTAATATTGTTTTTTGTGTAACAATGAGAACTTTGTTCGTCATTCATTCATTCATTCATCAGTTCACCCTAGCGAATTCGATATCACCCAATAACATATAACGGAACTACTATTAAGTTTAGTCATCAAAAGTCTCTTATTCAGCATGAAAATGTTGATTAGTAATAAAGGGGTTGATGGCAGTCTATATAGATCTAAGTTTTGTCCGGCTGAATATCTTTCAGCTAAGTATATCTGCACAATTGAGTACATTGATATTGAGATGGTGGAGAAAACTTGTAGCTCAGGTGGATGATTGTGGTGGTGTTTCGTTCTCTGAGCTGGTTGTTTTGCTTGTGGAGCTTTCATTGTTCTTCTTCTGAACAACATCATCAGCAGCACAAACTTCAGATAGAAGAAGTGAAGCATTCGAATTTCGCCACGTTTGACCTGTAGCTTGTTCTGCTAACCTCGATCTTGATTGGTTGCTGTTGACTTTTGACCTGTAGTTGTTTGCAACTTTGTTTTGATTGCATCCCTCTGTTGATCTGTTTCTTGATCCTGTGTCACCTATGATTTTCCTGATTAGTTGATAAATTGGATCAATGTCGATGTGTTTGTTGATTGCTGATGAACCTGAGTGTGTCAAGCTTCTAAAAATTCTCTAGTGTTCTTTGTCCTCCCCCTACCTAGTATTTCCACGTTGTTCCAATCAAATGTGTGTCCATAATTGTTGGTATGTATTGATGATATAAGCGAAGCGTTGTCGTGGCGTTTGACTGCTAATTGATGTTCACGTAAACGGAGCTGAAGAGGTCATCCACTTTGTCCTATGTAGTGTTTTTCACAGTTTGAGCAATTTATTTTGTAGATGATATTTGGTTTTTCTTCCTTTGTCATTTTGTCCTTTGGTCTACATAAGATTGATTGAAGTGATTCTGTTGGTTTGTGTGCCACACCTATTCCAAATGGTTTCAGTAGTCGTGCTGTATGCTCCGATATGTCTTTGAGGTATGGTAGGATGATGCGTTTATTTGTTTCAAAGCTTGATTTCGCTTCTGATGATGGTTTCGGTTGATGTTTTTTGAACAAAAGTTGCGTAGATAGCCGTTCTTTTGGAAGATAGTCATCAGGTGTTTTTCCTCGTTTTTTAATGCTTCGTATGTGCTGCAGTGTGTCTTCGCTCTCTTGAACAAAGTTTGTATGCAGTTGATCTTTTGGGTTCTTGAGTTGTTGCTGTCGTAGTTGAGAATTACGTCTGTCTGGGTTGGCTTCCGAAATACTTGAGTTTCTAGTTTTCCTGTGTTAGTTCTGGTGATTAGTACATCCAGGAATGATAGCCTGTTGTTTGATTCCTTTTCCATCGTTAATTTGATGTCATCGAAGACGTTGTTGATCTGACTGTAGATGTTCTCCAGCTCATTCCTTTTGATAATAACGAATGTGTCGTTTACATAGCGAACCCACATTTTTGGTTTGATCACTGGCAGAATCGACGCTTCCAGTCTCTGCATTACAGCTTCGGCGATGAGTCCTGATATCGATGATCCCATTGGTGTTCCTTTTATTTGTTCGTAGACTCTGTTGTTGAATTGAAGATACGTTGTTAAGCATAGGTCGATGAGTTCAAGCAGACTTTGACTCTGAAGCTTTGTATATTTGTGTAGATTTGTGTCGTTGATGAGGAGCAGAGAAAGAGTTTCTTTGGCTAAGCTTGGCTCTATTGAGGTAAATAAGGCTGTTACGTCGAAGGATATCATCATTTCGTCGTTGTCAATTTGAATCATCTTGAGTTTATCCAAGAATTCTTTGGCCGACTTAATGGAGTAGTTGGATTCATCCACCAGATGTTTTAATATCCTTGAAATTTCTCTTGATAAGTTGTAGGTCGGGGTTCCGGGATATTATCTTTGAGGTTCGTACGCATAATTCTTCAATGTGACAGTTTGAAATGTTCCCTCTGAAGTTGTTAGTTCGGCAACTGACCTGTGTGTCTGTGATATTTACACTGCTTGTTCGTTGAATTACAACCGAATTCACAATTACTTGATCCTTGTTTGATGATAAAAAGTCAATCTCAACCCCACGTAATTTTCTGGTAACGTCTTAAGCACTGATACTTAACAGTTTAGGTTATAATCCCACGAAAGTTCACCCTAAAGATTACAGATACTCATCAGTGATCCCAGTGAAAGTTAATATGAAATCTTGATCAAGGTCTCTTTTCAATCGAAACATTAGTATTACTTACTTAATCATTTATACCTGAAACCCTCAGTGGATCAGTCAATCAGTCAGTTACAACGTAGAACTTCGTACATGAGTACATAAGTTCAGGTTGGCATAACGCATCAGCACAAAGATGTAACTGTCAGTTCAAATCCCATAGTAGTAGCGATAGTAGAAGTATTAGCAGTAATGGAGAAGATTAAGGTTCGAAAATATGATTCGAGAAGTATAATTCAGTGAGATAACTTTAGAGAGAGAGAGAGAGATAGAGATGATGATGAATTCAGAAGGTTTTGAGGGAACACATAGGCCACCGACTAGTTTCTGGTTAGCGTTTTTTAGGGAGTTACTTTTCTAATGGATGAAGTCGTTAACTCCATCATGCTCAACCCTCCTCCTTTGTCCGAGATTGGTATCGGCAGTAACTTCAGACGGGTTTCGGGCGGAGCTACAGCATTAGGTATTGGTCTATTTAAATTATCCCTCACATTGAGAAGACTGAGGCAGGCGCGGAAGATTGTATTATGCAAATTTACACTCTTAGTCAATTAAAAACGAAAACATTACATTGAATACTCTATTTGTACACCATCTTCTTGAGTCGTGACTTCCAACACTCCATCATCCTTCTTCCATTCCTGTTGTTGCTTCCTTTACTTCCTGTTGTTGGTACTCTATTTACTTCTTGCTTTTGTTCCGTTTGCTTTCCGTTTTCCTCTTCTGACCGTGAGACTTCTTCTTCTTTCACGTCCCTTCTTATACTACTTATATCGTTCGTATAAGTAGCACACACCACAACATTGTATTGAATTTCATTCACAAAACCTACGAGACATGAACAGGGCATAAACATCCCATTTTTTCTTCGATGTTGACAATATGAGTAAATTCTTGTCAACATAATATTCATATCTTTCATGATTTCATTATTCAATTTACAGAGAATATTACACTGGATTTAGATCAATTCACTGAAATAATTCAAACTTATTCTCAATCAAGAGATGAAAGATGGAGTCAACTGAATAAAGCTTTTCTGGTAAGTTATCATGAAATGAAAACATATGATCATAACTGTCATGAATGAATAATGAATAAGATTCAGAAATCAGTTTCATAGAAATAAGTGAAAGATCAGGGATTCGAACCTAGGACCTTCGACCAAACTCTGGATCGCTGAGCCAGCCGGCATTCAACGGAGTTCATGTCTAACTCTGATTGATCTACGGATTTTGAGCAACTTCACCCACTTGTCTTCGGTAGTGTTACGCCGGCACTTAAACACGTCAATTTGATATACTTGAGCTATGACGAGTTTACCATAGTCAGAAAGCGAGAGTGAGGATCGAGGATCCGGGGACACGACATGCTACTCGAATCCCAACCCCCATATTTAGTAAAAATAAGAAGACGTTATATGAAGTAGAACCTGTATTCTACAAGCTTCCAGAAAGTACGAGATCCGAGTCCAGAAAAGAATCAGGTTCCCGGGCTAGGGATCCGAGAGCGGGTCCTGATTATAAAACGTTACATATAATGCGTATATATACATTTTGGCCGAATAGGAAACAGCATCGAAGTCTGTGGCATTGACAGTTAAGACGACCAATAGGAAGCAACATTTTAAGTGACATTGATAGTCTGGACAACCAATAAGAAACAACAATGGAGCACGTGACATTGATATCCAGGACGACCATAAAATTGACCAGTAGTAATTAACCAATAGGAATTGACCAATAATTCTCTTAGGATATTGGATGAATATCCTAACAGGTAGTTATTGCCTTCATCTGACAGGGTTGAACTCAACTGATTACATTTTCGCTTTAGAACTCCGAGAATTTCCTTACGAAGCTAGTATTCACAAGCGAACACATTGTATGATTTTTTCAATTAGAGTTATGGAGATCAGTATTTTTTGCGAATCGAAATCATCAATCGATCATTGTTAGACCACCATTATAATACTGGAAGCACCACTCAGAGGTTAGGCGTTCGCGCACAAGACCGAAGGTCCTGGGTTCGAATCCTGTGAGCGGGAGTCATGGATGCTCACTTCTGATCAGTTCAAAACTAGGACAAAACGGCCATCCAGTGCCTCCAGATTTCTTCCTGATAATGATCTCACAATGATCGACTCATGATTTCAATGAGTAAAACCACTGATCTCTATACTCTGATTGAAAAAAAGAGTAGTGAATTAGTTTTTAATATGTAATCATCACTGATTTAGTTTTCGAATACTCTTACTGGTTTCACATTCAAATTATGAATTGATCATTGCTAGATCACAATTAGGAAGAATCTTGGAAACACTAGATGTCCGTTCCTTCCTGGCATCTCATTCATCAGCAGTACAGTCTATGATATCCAAGCACGGAAATAGAATTCAAGATCACTCAGCTGGCATCCAACAGTGTAAATATCTCACTTCAGCCGATCTCAGATATCTTGCAACCTCACCAATTATCTTCTGTGGTTACTGCCTACACCCAACAGGGTTGAACTCCACTGATCACATCTTCGCATTAGAACTCAGAGAATTTCCTCACGAAACTAATTACTGATGAGCACATGATATTTGTTACAATGAGGTTGTGGACATTGTTGACCAGTTAATGGGGTTAATGTGTATTTTTAGCAATTAATTGGATCCAAAAGACATATGAGAGTGTAAAATACCAGAAAGTGAGTGAATATATTGATGATTAATAAGTGGGTAACTCCTAAAGGGTTACTGTCGGTCCCAAGCGCGGATACGACATTGCGGTTGGATATAGGGTTAGCTTTCCTATCCCGTAGAAGATTAACTCTCCAAAAAAGGCTAACCGAAAAAAATTTCAAACCGTTTAAACACCACCATTGGAATGAGGTCTTTCTTTAGAAGGGTTATGACGTCACTTGATGAAAGTCGAGTTTATTCAAACGTCACGGGCCGATGCTCTTTCTGACAACCACAGTAACCGTTAAAATAGGTGCATGGAATGTTCGAACAATGCGAGAGACCGGAAGACTGTTTCAAATCTCTGCAGATATGAAAAGTACAACCTAGTGGTTTTTGGAACCAGTAAAACACAGTGGAAATAGGTTCGACAACAAAGGCTAGCTTCAGAAGAGATATTGTTGTACTCCAATTATGAATAAGAAAATGCCTCATATATACAAGGAGTTGCACTGATGCTGTCCAAACAAGCACAAAATACACTGATGAGATGAGAATCTCATATTACCAGGATCATCAAAGACTCCTTCAAAACAAAGAAAGAGGACATTACCGAGGACGTCATCCGATGCTATGCACCTAGCAACGGCTACAATGACGACGTTAAAGATCAATTCTACGAAAGGCTGCAGTCAATTGTCGACAGATGCTCACCAAAGGATTTGACGATTCTGATGGGAGGTTGGTATGGAGAACACTGGATATAAAGACATCATGGAACAACAATGACTCGGAGAAAGGAACAAAAATGGTGAGAGATTTGCAAACCCATATGCCTTCAACAAACTGGTCGTAGGCGTCACCATATTTCCACATTAACAAATGCACAAAGCCACATGTATTTAACCGGATCACAATACACAGAACCAAATCGACCATATTTACATCAATTGAAAGTTTGGAAGGACAATGAAGGATGTGAGAACCAAGAGAGGAGCCAATGTAGCTTCAGATCAACACATGGTAGTTACTAAGATGTAAGTGAAACTCTAGAAACACTTGACAGTGGGGCGGATAACATCACAAAAATTTATTACAGCTATTCTTCGAGATACCGTGAAACTCAACAAATTCAATATAATTCTCAGTAATAGGTTGCTGTCTTTTCACTATCTACTCAATCGGGAGGAAACTACCATGGGGAACAATTGGAAGGGGGTCAATGAAGCAATAACTTCATCATGTCATGAACCTCTGGGACAAAAGCAGCACCATCACAAAGAGTGGATCTCAATGAATACACTGGATAAAGTTCAACAAAAGAGGAACATGAAGGCAGCCGAACAAGAGCAAAGAAAGTCATGTCATAAACTGAATACACAGAAACAAACCAGCAATGACGGCAGAAAAGGCTGAAAGAAAATAAAACATGGGACAACTATGGGATACAATGAAAAGGCCTGTTGGAAAAAATCATAAGCCAAAACAATCAGTGAAAAGCAAGGAAAGTGAAGTAATCACCAACGCTGTAAAACAGCGAAGCAGGTGGGTAGATCCCTTTGAGGAACTCTTGAATCAGCCAGCCCCACTGAACCCACTCAACATCGAAACAATACCAAGGGCATCTCGATTGATGTTGACCTGCCAACAACAGAAGAGATTAGCATGGCAGTCAGACAAATCAAGAGCAGCAGTGCAGTAAAACCAGACAACTTTCCAGCTGAGGCAATGAAAGCAGATGTAAAAATAACTGTGAAGATACTCCGAATTCTCTTCAGAAAGATTTAGGCTGAAGAACAATTACCAACCGCCTGGGAAGAAGAACACCTGATCAATATACCAAAGAAAGGTGATCTCAGTAAGTATGGCAACTACAATGGTATCACTTTTCTTTCAATACTAGAAAACGTGTTCATCAGAGTGCTGTGAAACAGACTGAAGGATTCCGTAGACGAACAACTTCAAGATCAGCAGGTTGGATTCCATAAGAATCGATCATGTTCTGACCAAATCGCAAGCAACACTGAATGATGGTTAAACAGTTAATTGAACGGAACACAACACCGTAAATCGATTTCCGTGACTACAAAAAACATTTGTTAGCTTGGACAGGATGACTCTATGAAGGATTCCTCCACACTACGGCATGCTTGAGATGATAGTCCCCAACATACGGAATTACTATGATGGATTAAACTGAAAAATCGTGCTTGGAGGACAGCAGACAGACTCGTTCCAAGGGAAGGGCGGTGTCAGGTAAAGTTTCTTACTCTCTCCCTTTCTCCTTCTCCTGGCGATCAACATCTAGGGGGGGGACATGGGATTCAGTGGATAGCTCTGATGCAGCTGGAGAATCTGAAATTCGCAGCTGGTCTAGCCTTTTCATCCCACACTCAAAAGCGATTGCTAGACAAGACGACCAGTGTAACAGTTGCCTGTTCACCAGTAGGTTCCAACACACACAAGGGAAAAAGTAAGATTCTCCGATGCAACTCAACATGTACCAACAAATCACACCTGACAAAAAATTTTCGTAAGATGTGGAAACCTTTACATATCTAGGCAGGACCACTGATGAGCACGTTGGATTTGATACAGATGTGAAGATGCGGATTAGGAAAGCAAGGGTGGTATTTCTACAATTGAAGAATTTACCACACAAATGTCAAGACAGTTCTACTGTATGGGACGGAAGATTTGAGAACCGCAAAAGCCATCATCCAAAGGAGAAAAAGATAACTAAAGAACACATTACTCCGAGAATTGGAATCAGACACGAAAAGAATGAACATTATTTAAGTAGAGCTGGAAAGGAAGGTCCAGGACAGAGTATGCTGAGGAATACTTGTCAGCAGCTTACACTGAACAAGAGGTAACAGGCTTATGCGATTTACTGCATTCATGTATTTTATGAGTGTCAATCAATGGTGTGGATAAAATTATTGATTGTAGATTTTTGTAACCAATTAGAAATCGGGTAAAGAATTGAGGTGCAGACATGCGTGGAATCATACTGACACAAATATGTACATAAGAGATCAAATAAAATATACCAGGTTTTGTTATCTAGTACAAACAAATTGAGAAGGCCTGCTATAAGTCCAGCTGTGTCGAGCGTGAGGCGGTTACCCACCGGACACAATAGATGAAATCCCACAGTATCAGTTGGAGTTTGACATTAACACCGTTGGATGACAGTTGAGTGGTCTACAGGTCACGTGTTCTCATACAAGACCGAAGATCTCTGGTTCTATTTCTGTGTGCAGATGTCATGGCTTGTACTGCTGATGAGTTCGATACTAGGACGAAGCAGCCTTATCAGTAATTCCAAGTTTCTTCCTCAATATAGTCAAGCATTAATCGATGCCTCTGGTTTCAATGAAACTCTCAACAATATCCACAATTATATACTGTTCACTTTTTGTTTTAGTTCTTCGACAAAACTGAATCTGGTGTCATTGATATAGAACCAATGAGAACAATGTTATTGACTATTGGTGAATGTTTCACAGAAAAAGAGGCAAATGAATTTTATAAATTAGCTGAACCTGGAAAAAATGGCAAATGGCCTTATGATGGTATGTGTGTGATTTAAGGGTAGCGGGTTTTTTTGTTTAAATTGTAAAAGTGAAATAATAAATTGTACATTGAACGTAGACATCATTCATTAAATTAGTTTGAATGTTTAATAAACAATAATGTTGAATAACATAGACAGGATAGTTTAATAATAATAATAATGATCACTATCATTTAAACTACAAACTAACTGTACTAAGTGAATCACTTGATAACTATAAATGAATAGTGTTGGGGATGTTAGATCCCCCGAAATTCGCTTGATAAATGCCTTATTTCGGTTTTTTACGTTTGCGAGCATGGACTGATCAGTTGACCTTGAGATTTTAATTCCCACCAGGGAAACCCATGACTGTGATTGGCTGCTGTGTATTTTAGTGTGCTATTTTCGTAACTGTCCCAAGGATGTTTCTATGATGTATAAATAAACAAGAGTTGTGTGTGCTTGATTGTGCTGTGATTGCTGGGTGTTTGTAGAATATACTTTCTACGCTTACAAAGCATTTTTACTCTATTTGGGGATTCAAGGTAGCCTACCTGGATGCTGGTTCATTGTCTCGTTCGCGTTTATCGACTAAGGTAAACTAGTAATAGCCTCAAGCATACTTAGTGACGAGCGTAACAAATAGGAAAATTATTTCATGGCAATATTGAACATCGGAATTGAAAATCTCTATTGATCATTTGACTACTCGATGGAAATGTCAGTAGTATATTTATTCGAATCAGAATTGTAGAGGGTAATTACCGTTAACATTGTTATCAGTATTATTTTAATTGAGATGATGGAGAATAAATTTTAGCTCAGATGGATGACTGTGGTGCGGTTTCGTTCTCTGAGCTGTATGCGTTTTGGTTATGGAGCTTTCATTGTTCTTCTGAACAACATCATCATCACAAACTTCTGGTCAAGAAGTGAGGTATTTGAATTTCGCCACAAATGACTTGAACTCGATCTTGATTGTCTGTTATTGACCTTAAACCTGTCGTCGTTTGAACTTTTGTATACCCGTTTTGATCTATTTCTTTATCCTATGATGTTTCCGACTGCTTGATAAAGTAGGTCAATGTCGATGTGTTTATTGATAGCCGACTGACATGAGTGCTAAACTTCTTTGCGCTTCCCCTATCCAGTATTTCCACATTGTTCCAATCGAATGTATGTTTTCGATGATGGATGTCTTCGAAGCATTGCTCGTATATCATGGGACAACCGAGTGAGTAACGCTGTTATTAGGAAACGGGTGCTAGTTAAGAATGGCAGATCAGTAGGTGAAGTAGTGAAACTTCATCAGTTGAGGTGATTGTGACATGTGTTAAGTATGCCTAACCACCGACTACCAAGTCGAGCTATGTTTTGCGATATAGGAATAGGTTGGAAGAACGTTGGGGGCGGCGAAACCAAAACATGGCACAAATTCATGAGGTCATTGACAAGTGGACTGAGTCATGTCGATAATTGTCGACTACCTGGTTGGGGTCCGCGAGACGAAAGTCATCGATAGTTAGAGACCTTGAATGACATGGCTCAAAACCGTTTGCAATGGAGCTGGTGCATTTATTCTTTGTGTTCTATCAAATCCTAATCTTCTGGATTCTTCAACACCTCTAGTTTTGTCTTTGTAAACTTTTCTCACTGAATCATACTTCTTGAATAATATCTTCTAATCCTAACCTCTCCGATTACTTCTAATACCTTTACTACCTGTACTACTACTATTGGATTTGAAATGACAATTATATCTCTGTGTGCTGATAAGGTATTGCAACATGAACTGATGTACTCACGTACAAAGTTCTACGTTGCATCTGACTGACTGACTGACTGACTGAATCGAATGTACGTTCAGAGTTATCCGTATGTATTGATATAAGCGAAGCGTTGTCATGGCTTTTGACTGCTAATTGGTGTTCACGTAAACGAAGCTGAAAAGACCACCCACTTAGTCCTATTTAGTGTTTTTCACACTCTGAGCAATTTATTTTCTAGATGATATTTGGTTTTTCTTCCTTTATCATTTTGTCCTTTAGTCGTCTACATAAGATTGATTGAAGTGATTCTGTTGGTTTGTGTGCTTTACACCTATATTCTCAATGGTTTTAGTAGTCATGCTGTAATGTCCTACATGCCTTTTATATATATGGTAGGGTGATGCGTTTATTGGTTCTTGTACTTGATTTTGCTTCTTTCTGTTGATGGTCTCAGTTTACATTCGCGCTGATGATGTTGTTCATGAAGAACAATGAAAGCTTTACAATCAAAACGCAAACTCCTAATCACTTTCAAACGGTTGAACCATTCCAACTGACATGTTATTGATTAGATAAGATCTGTTTTGGTATAAATTGCTGACAGAAATTTTTCTACCTGTAAAGCAATGACATAGTAATGGTAGTTTTGTTTAAATCAATACATTGAACACTTTCAATTGTATATGTGAAACACCATGTCCGCAATTTTAATTTTCTTGTTTTATTTTTCATTCAATCGTAAAGATTTTGTTAAAACTTTAGTCGACTCTTATCCACATCCATTGACAAAGAAGAAAAAAGGTGGATCGGGTAAAAAGAAAAAGAAATCGGCCAAAAAGAAATAAATTTTTCAACTGACACTTGTTAGTTAGTTAGTTAACTAGCTGATTGATTAACTGTAATGTTTTAACTTTTTTCTCCAAAGAAATAATATAATATAATATAATATTGAAGAATGTGATTCAATCTCTAAATTGTATGTGTTCAATGTTCAGTAATTCAAACTGTACTTTATGTATTTACGTATTTATTTATTTAATTTGTGATGTGTTCAAGGCTAAATGAAGGATAAAATATTGAGCATTGAACATTTTGAACAATGACAGAAGTATCATTCAGTGAGATGAATTTAGAAGGAGAAAGAGAGAGATTATGAGGAATTCAGAAGGTTCGAATTATAGAGAGAACACATTGCAAATCATTCTGAGGCATGTCGTTCTAGGTCTCTGATCAGTGGTGACTTTCGTCTCGCGGACCACAACCAGGTAGTCTACATCTACCAAGATGACTCAGTCCACTTGTTAGTGACTTCATGGATTTGTGCCATGTTTTGGTTTGGCCACCGCTGGATTTCGTCTAACCTACTCCTACACCACAAAGCATAGCTCGTTGCGGCAGTCGGTGGTTAGGCATACGTAACACATGTCCCAACCAACTCAACTGATGCAGTTTCAATACTTCATCTACTGATTTGCTATCCCTACCTAGAACTCGTTTCCTAACAACAGCATTGCTTATAATGTTGTCCCATGATACACAAGCAATGCTTCGGAGACACCTATGATCGAAGACTATTAAATTACGAATGTCCTCTACTCTTAACGGCAATGTGTTTCGCATCGTTTATAGTAGGACGGAGTGAACTGCTGTATGGTACACTCGTCCTTTGTTTAGCATGCGGATATCTCGCCTTCACCGTAGGTGACGCAGGTTGGAAAAAGCTAATCCAGCCTTCTGTATCCGTACTGACAATGATAGGAAAAAATGTCAACATATTTGGAGAAACATTCATGTGAAATTAATGCAGCAGAGTTTGGTCCTTATAGTAGAAAGTTTTAATGCATCAACGAAGGTCATTTTATTGTACGGCGCCAATCAAAGTATTGAAAAATAAGGTGTTCGATTAAGATGTTAAAACTTTAACAGAGAGAGTGCAGAATCTAGACCGAAATACTATTGCAGACAATAGTAGGACATGTGTCAATAGTATCTAATCGGTAGAACATTGTACTAGCCAATTGTGGAGAAATTTTCATAACTTGTTTCTACCAGAAGTTTCTACTGATAAGGTAGTCGGCTGCGCTGCTTATACAGGCGGATGTAAATAGTATATAGACAGACAGAGAGACAGACAGACAGACAGATATAACACAGAACTTTGTACGTATGTACATCAGTTCAGGTTGCCATACTACATTAACACAGAGACGTAACTGTCCGTTCAAATCCAATAGTAGTAGAGGTAGTAAAAGTATTAGCAGTAATGGAGAAGATTAGGGTATAATTCAGTGAGATAAAGTTCGAAAGATAAAGACGTAGATGATGAAGAATTTAGAAGGTTAGAATTAGAGCAAACACAAAGAGTGGATGCACTTGCACCATTGCAGACGATTTTGAGCCATGCCGTCCAAGGTCTCTAACCATCGGTGACTTTCTTCTCGCGGACCCCACCCAGCCTACATCTGCCAACATGACTCAGTCTACTTGTCAGTGTTTTCATGTATTTGTGACATGTTTTGGTTTGGCCACCGCTTATACAGGCAAATATAAATGTAAGTAGTGGGAAATAAAAGTAGAATTCTTACTGTCAAAAGAGGAAAACTGACGAGAGGAGAATAACCGGAGAGTAATCAAAGTATTATAAAAAATAAATCGTACTATTCTAAGAAAAACGTTAATCGTTTTAAAACTGTTTCAAATTAAAACAAGACTCTGAACAGCTGTGTATTGTTCAAGTATTCAAAAAAAATCTAAAAATGTTATTTAGCTTTCAATATTATTAGGTTTAAACTTCAATAACAATTGAATGGTTTTAGTGAAAATGATCATTCGAAATTCATACTGCCTATTTGAAATGTTAAGTTTACGAAATAATTGATATGTTAGTATAACTTGCAAAGCGTCGTACTGAAAAAATCATAGTTTTCAATTGTCTACTTATTGATTTGAATGATATGAAAGTTTCCTCGATTTCAAAATGATTCATTTGAAGATAAACAGATCAATGCAGCCATATTTGCAGAAAGATTGTTTAAAGACTTGTTTCACCCTGTGAATTGCTGCTTTGAAAATCACACTACTTATAAGTAGCCTATATTTTTATCATAAAAACTCTCCACCAGAAGTTATGTGGTCCTTTGGCGGAAGCGTCACGGGTATTACATCGAGTTTTGGTGATGCCATTGATAATTCGTAAATCTATTAAATGATGATTTAAAAGTATTAAGTGTACTACGATTCAAACAAACAAACTGAAAGTTTTTTATATTTACTGATTATATGGACGCTTAATTGCATGAATTTATAAATATGTCAATATAGTTAATTGATGCTAAATACAACTCAGTTCAATTTAAACAAATGTAACTGTAAAAAGATTGTTAGAAAATTAGTGTATTCACATATCATTTTGATACATTCTGATAATCTAATAAATTCGTATCAGTACTTTGTGTTGTTGTACTTACATCGTCATCTGATTCACAGTTTCCTAATATCAAATAATCAGTCGATGAAGTACCTCACAATGCACCATCTAACTTTCTAAACATCTTTCATTTAAAAACAATAAAAGCTATGAATTCAATGACTGATAGATAAATAGATGAATTGTATGAGAATGAGTGATTGAATATTTTCAATGACCTTAACTCTGAATATGTAGATTGTATCCGTTGAATTTTATCATTCATAATATCAGTGTTAAATACGTGATAGGACAAGTGTTTAAATTGTGGTCATTTGATTACCAGTACACTTATAATGTACATTCATAATAACTGTACATTGTGTTTTTTATTCACATTGCAACATACGTCGTATTTTTACATACAAATTGTCAGTTATTTTATCATAATAATTTAGAATGTTAATTTTTGAATTTTGAATCGCTTCGTTAACAACAGGAGTTTGCATAAAGCGGTTGTGAAGATTGTTAAGTTACACAATTTTGAAACCGTGTATCGACCAATGTTAGACCACCATTAGAAACCTGGAAACACTGGACGGTCGGTTCTTCCTGGTATGGGACTCTTCAGCAGTGCGCATCCGCGATGCCTTCACCCCGCGGGATTCGAACCCAGGACCTCCTGTACCTGAGAGTGTTAATGTCTAACTTGATCTAATTCATGGAGTTGCGCAACCTCATACACAGTCTTCGGTAGACACTGACTACACCCGGACAGTCTGTCTAACGGTTAGGGCGTTCACGCACAAAACTGGAGGTCCTTTTGATATGTTTCTTTATCCAATGTTTATCTATGATTTTTCAGACTGGTTAATAAATTAGATCAATGTCGATGTGTTTATCGATAGCCGACTGACGTGAGTGCTAAGCTTCTAAAATTTCTCCGGTGTTCCTTGCGCTTCCCCTATCCAGTATTTCCACATTTTCCAATCGAATGTATGTTTTCGATCATAGAAGTCTTCGAAGCATTGCTCGTATATCTTGCGACAACCGAATGAGTAACGCTGTTATTAGGAAACGGGTGCTAGGTAAGAAAAGCAGATCAGTGGGTGAAATAATGAAACTTCATCAGTTGAGGTGGTTGGAACATGTACTGAGTATGCCTATCCACCGACTGTCTCGACGACCTTTGTTTTGTAGTGTAGGAGTTGGTTGGAAGAAAGTTAGGGGTGGCCAAACCAAAATATGGCAGCAATGCATGAAGTCGCTGACAAGTGGACTGAGTCATGTCGATTGTTGTCGACTACCTGGTTGGGGTCCGCGAGATGATAATAATCGATGGTTAGAGACCTTGAATGACATGGCTCAAAACCGTTTGCAATGGAGCTGGTGCATTTATTCTTTGTGTTCTATCAAATCCTAATCTTCTGGATTTTTCAACACCTCTAGTTTTGTCTTTGTAAACTTTTCTCACTGAATCATACTTCTTGAATAATATCTTCTAATCCTAACCTCTTCGATTACTTCTAATACCTTTACTACCTCTACTACTACTATTGGATTTGAATTGACAATTACATCTCTGTGCTAATAATGTGGTATGGCAACATGAACTGAGGTACTTACGTACGAAGTTCTTTCTACGTTGCATCTGACTGACTGACTGACTGAATCGAATGTATGTTCATAGTTGTCCGTATGTATTGATATAAGCGAAGCATTGTCATGGCTTTTGACTGCTAATTGGTGTTCACGTAAACGAAGCTGAAGAGACCACCCACTTAGTCCTATTTAGTGTTTTTCACACTCTGAGCAATTTATTTTCTAGATGATATTTGGTTTTTCTTCCTTTGTCATTTTGTCCTTTAGTCGTCTACATAAGATTGATTGAAGTGATTCTGTTGGTTTGTGTGCTTTACACCTATATTCTCAATGGTTTTAGTAGTCATGCTGTAATGATGTCCTACATGCCTTTTATATATGTGGTAGAATGATGCGTTTATTGGTTCTTGTACTTGATTTTGCTTCTTTCTGTTGATGGTCTCAGTTTACATTCGCGCTGATGATGTTATTCATGAAGAACAATGAAAGCTTTACAATCAAAACGCAAACTCCTAATCACTTTCAAACGGTTGAACAATTCCAACTGAAATGTTATTGATTAGATAAGATCTCTTTTGGTATAAACTGCTGACAGAAATTTTTCTACCTGTAAAGCAATGACATAGTAATGGTAGTTTTGTTTAAATCAATACATTGAACACTTTCAATTGTATATGTGAAACACCATCTACGCAATTTTAATTTTCTTGTTTTATTTTTCATACTCACACACATTCAATCGCAAAGATTTTGTTAAAACTTTAGTCGACTCTTATCCACATCCATTGACAAAGAAGAAAAAAGCTGGATCAGGTAAAAAGAAAAAGAAATCGGCCA